GTTTGGTGTTTTTCTTCCCTCCCCTAAAAAAGGATTGGTAGCAACAAAAAAGGCAGGAGAGGGGGTATAGCTCAGTGGTAGAGCATTTGACTGCAGATCAAGAGGTCCCTGGTTCAAATCCGGGTGCCCCCTGCAGGTGTTTTTATTTTTCTTTCCATTCCAAATTCATATCAAGCGGTAATATTCACCGACCAGAATTTAGGAATAACGCGGAAACCACCTCATGATATATTTAAGGAGGCAGTAACATCTTCATGTAACCTCCATGGAGCTAACGTATACAAGTTGCCTAACAGGAATCTCGGGAGATCTGTGTCGTACATACAGCTCTAGGTGCTTTAGAGCGACAAATCACTTATAAATCATTTTAAATTTACAATTTAAAATTTACAAATCACGACCCCACGCCAGCATGTATGTCTCAATATCACTAATCCAGATGCAAGAGAGTCGGTGCAGTTCTGTCATCTTGAGGATAAAATACATTAAGCCAAACAAACAGGGATGCTACATGAAAAGCAGAGAATAGGGGACGGCAGAGAGCCGTGTACGACACGAGCTCTTTCCATCTCTCTTCCTCTCTCTCAAATTGTACACTGGTGTTTCTCAACCTGAGCAACTTTAAGACGTGTGGACTTCAGCTCCCAGAATTCCCCAGTTAGCATGGCCTTAAAGTTACTCAGGTTGAGAAACACTATTGCGGACGGCTCCTGCAGAAAGCCTTCCGCACCAGGACCAGCCCGCTCGGCTTCCGAAGCCAGCGCTGCCTCGCGCAGCACGCTCACGTGCTCCTCCGCCGCGGACAAGGATTGGTCGATCCAGTCCATGCGGCCGGGAGAGTGGCAGGCATGCCGGGTGATCAGCACCAAGTGGCTCACCGAGAGCAGCAGCGCCGTCGTCCTGCAAAAGAAAGGGGGCGGGGCGGGGCTGATCAACCAATCCCCGCCCCTCCAGCTCCACCGCCAAGCGGCCTTATATCCTCCTCCTGTCTGTCCCCCCCGTAATTATGAGATATGGCTGTGGGGGGGCTGTTTTCCTAACATAATTATTTTAAACCTGAGAAGGTGTTAAAGGATCAAGCAAAATTGAGAAGATGGAAGGATGTGATCAAAGTATATGTATTTTAAAATTTAACAGTTAAATATGTTAATTGAAAGGAATATTAATATTTAGTCACTGTAATTAACCTTATGACATCTTTCTGTGCAGCGCTAGCAGTTCTGCAGTGCAGCCTTCCACGTGCCATTCAAGCTGCAGCAGCGCTTGGCTCAAGAAAAGGCCGACAATGCTGTTCTAAGAGCAGCCTTTTGAATGGCGATGGGAGCATTGGGCAGAAACGCAAAAAAGGGACTTGATAAAGAACTCAGGAGGGACCTCCGGTGCAGATATCTCAAAAGGAAGTTGCCTAACTCTTAATGAGGTGAAAGCAAGGGAAGATTCTTGTCCATCTGCCTATAATCTGCTCAGAATCTGGGTTATGCAAAAGAAGATCTCTTCCAAGCCCTCAGCTGCTGGTTGTGAAACTTCCTCCTTGCAGTGGGATGGTGATTCTATTGCCTTTTTGGTGGCTAGTTAAAGCAACATAGTTTAATTGAACTCTAAAGAGTGGGGGCCATTTTCCTCTGATCTGGTTGTGTTGATTGCTTGCTTTCATTTTGTATTATATTTTTGTTTTGATTTGCACATTACCTCAAGTGCACACAGAGTAGAGAGGCATTTGAAAAACACACAAAAATAAAATAGTTTCTGCATATCTTTTACAAAAAAAATAATTCCCAAGATGATCTCACTGCACTATAAAGAATGGTAGTGAGTAAGGACGAGGTAGAAGAAGAGGAAAATATTCTGGTATAGTTTTTCTCAGATTGTTGGCCTGGATCATGATTGCATTAATTCCACCCAGAATGGCCAATTAGTGATGTTCTGAACTGTATGAGGAGCATTTCTGCTCTAACAATTCACAAAATTACTGGTTATTGCTGTGATGAGTAAACTCTGTTTTCATTAGTGTAGAAGTATTACGACACATGATTGGGTGATCTTACAAAACAGTAGTATGAAAATGCACCAGGTTGAGGAAGAGCTGCTGAAGGTCTTCATTCCACTCTATTAAATGGCCCTAAATCAATTGTAGGTTATTCCATGAGCTACAACAATCCTTGGTTTCTTATTGAATATGAGGGAACAAAAGTGGCATTTTGGTGCAGCAACAAATAAGGTTATCTATCATAGATGATGTCAATTTCCAGTTACTGGAATACAGTACTGAGTATTTATAGTTTACAGAATAGTACGTAATTAGTTTTTTGCAACATGTACAGCAAATTCTATGATAGCTTGAAGATCAACAGTGCAAGTAGTACAAGATTTAATACACATCTGGGAAGAGAGACAAGGGAAATAAATGGTGAAATGAGAAAGGATTACCTTAGGTACTGACTGACCAAAAATTAAACAGCAGTTTAGGTATGATAACATCGTTTCATTGAAATGGATTGTAAGCTAACACAGGTAGGTTGTATTAGTGTGCTTACCCATGATCAATTGAACATGGTTTATTCAGCTCAGTGTTGACTTGACATATTGAACCATAAACTAATCAACCAGGGTGAATGTGTATAAAAACTATGAAAATGCAGTTGTACAATAATTTTCATCATCTCATTATCTGTTCTATTATTTTCCTCATTTTCTTCCTCCACCCCAACAATAGCTGTGTGTGTGTAAAGGAGAAGGGGACAGCAGAGGATGAGATGGTTAGATAGCATCACTGAAGCAATGAGCATGAAACTGAGCAAACTCAGGGAGGCAGTGGAGGATAGGAAGGCCTGGCGCGATATGGTTCATGGGGTCACAAAGAGTCGGACACGACTGAACAACAACAAATATAATTCTCTTCTCAGGACTACACTTGAAGGATCCAAGGTGGATCATGACCAATGAAAATGTCAGTGGTAATTAGTGGGTTATTCGTTAAGATGTCAGAAGGCTGTTACTTGCCAGAATCCATGCTTTCCATGTGTGTTGGACTACAATTCCCACGATACCCACCCACCACATTCATTTGCCATGCTGGCAGGGGACTGATAGCCAACGCTTCTTCAGAGCACCAGGCTGCAGACAGTTTTTACAATGTAATGCCCAATCCTATAGAATCCTATAGGAAATCCTATGCATTCATTACAGGATATGTAATGAGATTTTCAATCCAACATCCATTCCCAGTTTTCAAGTTCAATCTTGGGATGTTATATTTTAAATGACTGCCCTTCCTAAATAGTCAAACTGATGGATTGATTGATTATGTGCCATCAAGTTGGTGTTGATTCTTCATGACCACAAACATTTTCTCCAGGGTGATCTGTCCCCAGCCTGTTCCCGCAGGTCTTCCAATGATCCATTTGTTTGTTTTCTTGGGTATCCATGGTATTCCCAGGAGTCTTCTCCAATAGCAAAGTTCAAAAATGTCAATACACTTTCTATCCTGATCATTCAAAGTCCAAATTTTGCTTCCATAAAGTTTCACAGGGAAAACTATTGTCTGCATGATTCTGATCTTTGTAGACAGGATATCTGAATATTTTTTCCAAGGCTTTCATTGCTGTTCTTCTGGGTCTAGTCTGTGGTCTATCTCTTGACTGCTGGTTCCTTTACTTATTGACAGCCTAAAAAGCAGAAGCTCTCCACCACTTCAGTATTTTCATTGTCAGTTCTAAGGCTGGTTACCATTAGTCATCTTCATTATATTTAACCTTATCCCATTTTTTATTTCATTATTAGAACTTGTGGATCATTTGCATTTTGAGCTATCAAAGAAGTGTCACAAGCATAGTGCAGGTTATTAATATTTCTTCCACTTTTAAAATCATGCTCATCTTCTTCCAGTCCAGATTCTCTCAATGTATATTCAGCATATAAGTTGAATAAATAAGGAGACAATATACAGCCTTGGGTCAAAATGATATAATGTAAAATCCTGTGATATATGGATCTTTCCTATCATCACTAAGCAAAAAGCTCTATATATCTGTGATCTGAGAAAAGGCAAGGGTTTTTCAGGCAGATAGTGAAACTGCCAGAATAAGTTTCACTGTTAAATTGTTTATGTTAATTTTAAAATGAACTATTCCCGAATAACTAATTGACAGGATTCATTACAATCTCATTGTAAAATGGAGTCTCTGATTTCACTTCTTTTCCTTGAAAGAAATATGTAGCAACCTCAAAGGCGGAAGAGGGGGTATAGCTCAGTGGTAGAGCATTTGACTGCAGATCAAGAGGTCCCTGGTTCAAATCCGGGTGCCCCCTGTTCGCTTTTTTTCTTTTCTTTTTTTCAATACTTAATTTAAAATCCACAGCAAGCAGTAATGCTCACCGACTAGAATTTAGGAATATCGCAGAAACCATCTTGTGGAACATTTAGGGACGAAGCAACAGCTTTGCGTACGCCGCGTAGAGCTAATGTGTACAAGTCGCCTAACAGGACTCTCCGGAGATCTGAGACGTGCATACAATTCTAAGGGCTTTACGGCCTCCGATCGGGCCTCCTTCCTAAACAGTGGAAATAATTAATCCCTCAACACCGCGCTTCTTGTCCTCTCCGCCTCCTCGCCGCTTTCTCTGGGCTGGCAAAGGCCGGGGGACGGAAAGGCGCCCGCTAGGTGAATCGCCTCCGCCGCCGCATCTCCGTAGCAAATTGCCCTGGGCGGGAGGCGGCAGCGGGGCGACATTATTTTGGTCCGAACTGAAGAACGAAAGGAAACAATCCTCTTTCCTCCGGACTGCGATTTAGCGCTTGCAGTGTTTACATGCATGAACTGGGCTTTCTTAGGGGCGTGTTAAGTTGTCCATGTGAAGTCGTAAAAACGACTCTCTGGGTGAATTGCAAAGCAATCACCAGCGCAGGAAGGAAAAGAGCATTCCCCGAGGTCCTCCTCCTTTTCTTTTCAGACGACCCGGCTCCCTCTGCGTCCGTCCGGAGGCGGCGGCTCTTCAGAACTGCAGGATAAGCAAAGCGGAGGGCGTTGCGGTGGCTTGATCGCTTTGTGCCTTCGGTCCCCCACCAGGTGGCTGGGAAAATGTCCACCGATCGTGGCACTTCAGCAGGAACGGGGTGGGTCTGATTCCAGGGCTCCCTTCTCTCTGGTCTCCTGCCTGCTCTCTCCTAAGCCCGATTTTGACCGCATCTGCTGCATAAAATTCATCAACATCACCATCATGATCACAATCATGAAATAGATCGGAATCAGGGTGAAGCAGCACGCTGATTTAGGGCCAGGGGTGGGTCTGATTGCGGGGCTCCCTTATCTCTGGTCTTCTGCCTGTTCCCTCCTCCTAGCCTCCATTTTGACAGCATCTGCTGTATAAAATAAATTATAACTGTAGTATCACAATCAGGAAATAGATCAGAGTCATGAAGGGAGATAGAATCCAAGTTGCGTGTTTAGGGTTTTCCTCCCCTTCCTTTTTTTCCTTCATGCAGGAAACATGCCTTCCTCTGGAGGAGATGGAAAGGAGGGGATGTCTGTCCTGTCTGTCCACCAATGTACTGTTTCAGCCTTGTGTTAAAAACCATTAACAGCTGTAGAATTAAAGCAGTCACAGTATTGCTGACTGAGCAGTCTGGTGCTATTGCACGATTTTGATTGACCACCGTTTTTTCACTGGCCAATGATTCTTCCACAGAGGATGTCCCAAATGGTGATATACCCATGTGTGCTTGTGACAGGGAACTGTTTGCACACAGCTGGTGCAGGGTTGCCAGAGTAACATAGAGGGAAACTCCACACTGAAAGATTCAGCTCTATCCATCTTGTACAAATCTGAAGGACTACCAATACAGTGCTGCAGTGCACAGCTCTTTAGAGCAGGGTTCCTCAACCTTGGCAACTTTAAGATGG